TGTAAAGTGAAGAAGTCAGACAAGGTAATCACTACGCTCTAAATCCTAAGATCCTGGGTTGGGGGAAGCTGATTTTATCTCGTTACAAGTGGCGTCCTAGCTATAGACCATGGGCAAGTCACCTAATTCCTCTGAGCCTCAGTTTCCTCATATGTAAAACAGTCATGTACTTGTTATGCTTAACCTAACAGCTGTTGGAGGATCAAATGAGAAAACACACGCAAAGCACTTTATGTCAGCTATCATTATTAAGTCACGTAACCTCTTCAAGCCTCAGTTCTGCCCGCCTAAAAAATAGGGATGATAATCGTGTTACACCCCTCGAAGGACTTTCATGGGGAAAGTGTTTTGTGAATTAAACTTCCCTTTCTCCCATCCTTTTGCTCTTATAAACGCTCTTTCCCTTTAGTCTGTCATTTCACTCTGTCAGTGAAAGAGTCCTCGAAAGACTCTTCCAGGTTTCCTAGGCAGGGACATTTCTCAGCTAAGGCCATATAGGTTCAGAAAAAGCAACTTGGCTTTTTCACATACATTCCCTAAGCAAGACCCTCCATCAAGGCTCTCCAGGCAGCAGGGAAAACGTACTGGATCGCATCCAAAGTCAACAAGTCAAGTCAACCTTCCCTGATTAAGAACTATGTTCCAATCACCGTGTTAAATCCTGAGGATAAAAATGCAGTGATCCCTTTCACATCCCTGAGGTTAGGGGCATGACACCCTTACAATCTGGAAAATCCTCGTAAAGTGTTTCGGCCCTCCCTTCGTACCGGAGAAGTCTGAATTAATAAAATACGCCGACATGCAATACTACACATATATTCTATGCATTTCTGAGTTTCTAAATTTTTGCTGGCTTTTGCATATCAGCTGAGGCTTCCACAAAACTCCCCAAAAATTCCCATTTAGCTTCGTGTGCTGCTCCACGATATACCAACGCTTCAGTGTTGAGATGTGGAAAGGATAACTACCCAAGCAAAACCAAAGACAAGGCCAGCCTTCAATAAGCCCAGATTCTACTGGGGGAAGACCACACATGAAAGGGAACTGAAGAGTAGAGAAGGGAGCCCAATGCCAGTGGTGGCATTGTGGCAGAGCCTGGAGGATGAAGTATGGCTACTCTGTGTCCTTCCTGATAATGAAGGAAGTTCCAGGGTTACCAATGGAAGGAAATCAGAAGTTGGCTTCCTCAGTAACCACTAAGGAGGTAGTTCCTCAGAGTGTGATCCACCCAGTCTGGCTCAGCTGCCCATCACTGTGGCTCAGTAACCTGAAATGAGAACCACTTGGAGGTGGGACGTACCAAGATCTCAGTGTGGTACCACACCTGTTTCTTCAGTAAACCAAACACCTCGAATGAACTTTGTATCCAAATCTTCCACCCATGCTTCCCTACTTCGTCCATGACTCTTTGTTACCGAACTGTTAAGGCTCTTTCCTTGAGGTCATTTGAATTTCTCAGGTCATTGCCATCTTGCAAAGAAGACATCCAAGCAACCAGCATGGCGCTCAAACACTTGCACAGTTGCTATCCCAGTCTAACTTTTGCTATGAAATCCTCGTGCTGTGGGCTGGTAGACCATAAACAAATCTAGACTTGGAATGGAGGGAGACCTGGCTTCTGATATGATGTTTCGTCATTTACCAGTTGTGGGACATTAGATGTCCCACTCAGCAAGTCCAAAATGTGAAATTTATATCCACACACCTGAAAAATCCCTCCACCAAATTTCCCCTATTTTGTTGATGGTGCCACCATCCCTAACCTCTCAGTCACCAAAAATTCACAACTTTGAAATCAGTCTTAACTCTTCCTTATCTCTCAGCCTCCACATCCAATCAGTTGCCAAATCTTATCAATTCTACCCCATACATGCAGTCTCTCACATCTGTTCCCTTCTTTCTATTCACACAACCTCGAGCCTGTGGTATGCTCACAAATGTTTAACAACCAGCTCTCCATGGAGATAATATGTACCCATGACATATTTTTTAAGTCTAACCACTGCTAACATTTTCTCCATCTCTTTTCCCATTCTAGACAATCAACAAAACAATTTTTTAAAGCCCCAATTTTTAGCTACTTCTTGAGGTGTAAATGCTCACATTGAAAATTTAACAATTGGCTTTCAGGAGAAGGTAGGAGCTAGCTCCAGCACAACCCAGCCTCTTTCCTACTTCATATATTTATCCTCGCACTTGGAATTTGCAATAGTCTCCTGATTGGTCTTCCTGCTTCAAATCTCTCTCTTCCTTCACCAATCCACAGTCCATACTGCTGTCAAATCGATATTCCTTAGTCAGAGATTAGACCATCTCACCACTCTGCCCACTCCATTCAAAAATCTTCTAGCTTCCCATGGCTTGGAGGAGAAACTACTGCCAGCAGCCGGCGTGATGTGTGACAGAGGGGTGAAGAAAAAAGGGGAAAGGGAACTGGAGAAAGAAAAGTTGGGCTAGGTGAGTCTGAGACTGATGCTCATAAGACTGGTTTGTTTTCAGAGGTTACAAGATTACACAGAAAACAGCTTTGTACCATGAGAAATGATCTACAAGCACTAATTGGTAACATAAACAATCTAAGCAGCTGAAGATCCTCATTTTCTCATGAGAAAGTAGTTTTAATGCCAAATTCCATATTTATTGTTTCTCTGCCCAGTTCTTAGTATTGTCTACCCGAGTCGGCCACCTAGTCTCAAGGCTGGGCATGAGTGAGAACTTAGAATCAACAGACCATAGCGAACGGAGCTAGGACAAGAGCCATGGGAGCATTTATCCCAAGGCAAGCCTCTATACGTACTGACCCCTAAAGTCTATAAGGACTTAGAGATTTTCCACAGGGACTCGGGCTCCCACAAACTACAGAACCCTTAGTTTGGCATTTAAAGCTCAATCTAAGATTGCCATCCATCTACCTTTCCATCCTCATTTCCTATTCTTCCTCTTCACACATTCCATTCCTATCAAACTGACATGCCAGCTATTCCCTATGCGTGATCTCCCACCTCCAGCCTCCATGTGTCTGCACAAATGGTCCCCCATGTCTTTTCACCTCTACCATACACAATTCCTAGCTTCCTTCAAAACACAGGTTGAGCGCCACATCCCCCCTTTGGCTTTTCCTGACCTTCCTTCTTCCCCACTCCCCATCTCCAGTTATTAGGACTCTTTCCCACTTGAAATTACTCTCTGGGATTTTGTGTATTTTTGCCTGTATAAAGGTTGCATCACCAGTAAATCTGTAAGTTCCTTGAGGGCAGAAACTCTTTATTTTTTCAGTTCTATCTCCAGCCTGCTGGAGACAACTAGATGACACAGTGCATGGAGCACTGGGCCTAATACTTACTGGTTGCATGACCCTAGGCAAGTCATTTTATCTCTGTTTGCCTCATTTTCCTCAACTGTAAAATGGGAATCTTAACAGCACCTACCTCCCAGGGTTGTTGTGAGGATCAAATGAGATATCTGTAAAGCCCTGGCACACAGTGGGTGCTTAATAAATACTTGGGAACTTCCATGTCGCAGCATATGCCTACATGAGAAAGTGATCACTTGACAGTTTCCTTCTGTACTTCCTTTCCTCCCTTCCTAGGCTCCTTTCTCTTGGGTCAGAATGGTCTAGCCAAGATCGATCAATCAGCAAACATTTATTAAGTACCTACCTTGGGCAGAGTTCTTTGTTCAGCACTGAAAGAGATAGGAAGTTCAGATGAGATACAGTCCTTTTATCAAAGAGCTAACAGTCTAGCAGTATGGAAAGACATCAACAGTATTTATTCTATGACAGGTGCATGAGAGAAGTATAAAGTGCTGAGTGAGGTCAAAAGGGGGAGGTCCTGTAGGGTGTGTGGTGGGGTATATCAAGGAGGTTTTCCTGGAGGAGGTAGCATTGGAGTTGGGCTTTAAAGAAAGGGTAAGAATTTAGTAGGGGGAATGAGAGCATTTCAGGCACTGAGTACAGTTTCCATTTTGATGGATTCCTTTTCATTCATTAAATGAAACATAGCCCTGAAGTAGGAGGTAGAGAGGTAGCCTCATCAGGCAGACCTGGGTTCAAGTCCCACTTCTGACACATGCTGGCTGTGTGACTCTGGTCAAATAACTTCACCTTTCAGTGCTCAGGATGACTAGAAAACTCCTTAAGACTCTAAGTTTTACTGTGCATACCCTTTGATCCAGCAATACCACTAATAGGTCTGTATCTCAAAGAGATCATTAAAAAAGAGGAAAGGACGCACATGTACAAAAATATTTATAGCAGCTCTTTTCATGATGGCAAAGAACTGAATTTTGAGGGGATGTCCATCAATTGGGGAATGGCTTGTGGCATATGAATGTAATGGAATACTATTGTGCTATAAGAAATGATGAGCAGACAGATTTCAGAAAAACCTGGAAAGACTTACATGAACTGATGCTGAGTGAAGTAAACAGAACCAGGAGAACATTGTACACAGCAACAGCAACATTGTTCGATGACCGACTTTATTAGACTCAGCTCTTAGCAATATAATGATCTAAAACAATTCCAAAAGACTCATAATGGAAAATGCTATCCCCATCCAGAGAAGGAACTATGGAGTCTAAATGCAGATCAAAGCACACTATTTTCTTTTTTGTTTGTTTGTTTTGTTTTGTTTTTTTTCTTTCTTGTGGTTTTTCCCTTTCGCTCTGATTCTTCTTTCACAACATGACTAATGTGGAAATATGTTTAATATAATTGTACATATATAGCCTATATCATATTGCAAGCCACCTTGGGGAGGGGGGAGAGAAGAGGGGAAATTTGGAACTCAAAATCTTATAAAAGTGAATACTAAAAACCAAAAATAAATTGATGAAGAAAAAAGAAAGAAAGAGAGGAAGGAAGGAAGGAAGGAAGGAAGGAAGGAAGGAAGGAAGGAAGGAAGGAAGGAAGGAAGGAAGGAAGGAAGGAAGGAAGGAAGGAAGAAGGAAGGAAGGAAGGGAGAGAGAGAGAGAAGAGAGAGAGAGAGAGAGAGAGAGAGAGAGAGAGAGAGAGAGAGAAAGACTCTAAGTTTTAGAGAAGGGGATAACCTGTACTGGAAGAAGAAATTCTTCACTGGGAAATCCCTACACTGGAACAATCACATGACTAGTCAAAATAATATGATTTAATGTAAATCTAGTTTTAAAGTTCTATTGATGACTTTTGATTTTACACTACAGTCATTTCCCAATATCCTCCTCCCACCCCTCCCTCTACCATTAAACCCTCCTTTGATACAAAGCAAATGTCTTTTCCTGCTTTCTCTCCTCACTGAACTTCACCCTGTGATAAAGCATGACATGAGCTTCTCTGGGCACGCCTAGTTCTTCTAAAATTGAACTCAGTGCATCACATGAATGGGAAGAGCCTCCTTTGATTGGCTACATCTTTCAAACTGATGAGACTGAGCCATTTGTCCTCTCTTTTGGCTGTGTTCTTTTTGTCCCGTTATCTACTGTGTCCAGAGGGTAAAGATCACAGTTTACCCACAACAAAGATATACTGTGAGGTGAGAGGGGAGGTACTTTCCTTCCCTTGCTCCCTCTTTTTTGCCCTAGTTCCAAGAAATTATCCTGGAGGGTTTTATTTCTGTTCTGTATTGTTTGACTTTCTTGGTTTCAGATGTCAGAGGTGATCCCCACGGGACCAGGAGTTTGAGCCATGGCTTAATCTTGGAGCCAGGATTCTAGGCAGGATGATGCAGCCAGCCAGTCCAGCATGGAAACCCTTGGAAGCTAGAGTACCTGGGTAAGGTTTGAACTTGGAATTGAGGTTGTGCTCTATGGGAACTGAACTACACTAGGAACTTAATCCATTTCCCCTTCGCAGAGACTGACAGGGAAGCTGGGAGAGGAGGAGAATTAAGCCTCATGCGTTGGGAAAGTAGGTCTGTAATATTTGTGATTCTATCTTCGAGTAAATATTTCTATGTGTGTTAGCGGATAATGAAACTAAGATGCAGGGGACCACCCCCGACAATTAATTGAGGGAACACCTTCAGTAGGGGCTGGCGCCTTTCACAGACAGCTTGTCCGACCCTGTCCAGATCCTCTTGAGGGTACTGGAGAACCCTGGAGGAAGGGTGAAATACAACGTACCTGGCCTTCAGGCGGTAAGAGCCAGGGTGGATCAGCAAACCAGTTAAGGGAAAATGGCCAGCCTACTCAACATTCCACACCCATAGTCCCCTGTCTCTCTACAGAGAGGAAGGAAGTGGGTGACATCCTGTGTTCCCTGGGACCGAGGCTGGTCACTGAAATTAATCTTCCAGTGGAGTCCTACAAAGAGCCGTTCTACAAAGCATCCAGTAAACAATAGGAAGTCGTGGGCACCACAGCTCCAAACCTCACTGCCTAATGAACTGGCTTCTTCTGCCAAAGCTACAGCCCCCTCTGCCATCTGACTGAAGCTATTGATTGGGACTTTGCCCCACCACCACCACAGTGCTTCACATGCAGGGTGCTTTTTCAAAATGCTGAGAATTGAGCCAATATCATGGGAAAGGAAATGAAAGTCTGAAGCAATTGTTTCAGAACTTAAGGTCAGACCCTACTTAGAGGGAGAATTCTTCTGATAATGAGCATACTTCTAGACATTCTGAAGGTATAATGGGGAGGAAAATCCCCACTAGAAATGAGAGGCAGTGTGGCATAAGGGATGGAAAGCTGGCCTCAGTGTCCAAAAAGACCTGGGTTCAAGTCTAGCCTCTGACTCTTTTGGATAAATGACTCCCTGCTCCACAAAGTCATTTAACCTCTCTGTGTCCCTGAGAAAGGGTCAAGCATAAATTAAGAGCTGGAAAGGACCTCAGGGGTTTTATATTCCAAGTTCTTCACTTTACAGGTGAAAAAACTGAGGCCTAGGAAGATTAAGTGACTTTCCCAAGGTCCATTCAGGAAGTAAGTATTATAGGTAAGATTAGAACCCAGGTCCTCTGACTACAAAACCAGTGCTCTTCGTAATTCTCAGACTCAGTTACAGAAAACATATGATCTGCATTGGTAATAATAACAGTTCTGCAAAATACCTTATATGATGGATATCATTTGGCCTTCGCAAAAACCCTGCGAGGTAGGTCTTATTAATAGACTCCTAACACCTAAGAATAAACTGAGAACCGGAGATTAAGTGCCTTGCCTAGGCTTACACAGCTAGTAAGTGTCTGAGGCAGGATTTAAACTTGAATCTGCCTTCCTCCAAAGCCAGCAGCCAATCCGCTATCACAAAGCTAGTCCCATCCACCCCTCAAAAAAGCACTGGAAGTCAGGAAGCCAGGGGCCTTACTTACTCCTCATCTATACAATGCATGGGTCTAAATTTGAGGCATTGTAAGACAATGGAAAGAGCAGGAAAGGCTTGGGTTCAGAACCAACTTCTGTCACTTACTACCTCTGTGACCTTGGGTAAGTCACTTAACTTTCCTGGGCCTCAGTTTCCCCTCATATGTAAAATGAGGAGGTGAAGCTATATTTGGCCTCTGAGTTTCCTTCCAGCTCTGGATGAGTGATCCTGTATTCAACCAGGTCCTCTCCAACTCTAACATCGTATTCTTAGGTCTCGTCCCGCTCTAACATTCTATTTAATTACAATGAGAAGTATTTGGCTATTAAGTGCCTACTGTGGGCAAAGCACTGGACTAGTCCCTGAAGATACAGATATAAATAGGCCAACTCCCCCTACCCTTAAGGATCTGAGATTGTATTAGAACACGTGCTCTATGTTGGAAGGCCTTTTCAGCTTTGACATTCCATGATTCAATGATTCACTCCAAGCTAAAATGCAGCCCCATCTGGGATGGGCAGGGGACAAACTGACCACAAAGTAGAGCAGCTCGAGCAAAGAGGAATTCTTCCTCCTCCAGGGAAACCTCCTTGGGGGAGAATTTGGGGCCAGAAAATGAAATGCACTGAGCAGTGGAGAGAAGCCAAGTTCAAAATGAATAATGAAATACCCGGCCTCTTTGTTCCTGAACTGCCCTTCACCATAATACAGGGCAAAGAGCGGCTTCTGTGTGATGGGGGAGACAGACTTTGTTGACACAACTCAGCTTTAATTTTTGTGAAGTTAATAACCAGGCTGTCATCTCGCTCCTCCAGGGTAATTAGTGGCCTGCAGAGGGAATGAATGGGCCCTATTATCAAGGGAAATTATAAATAGAAAGAAAGCACATGGTGTTTCAAAGCTCTGCACAGCATCACCGCCCTGTGCCCGCCCCGCCAATGAAAGCAGAGGCTTCAGAAAGTCAGAGGGTGCTGAGTTCTGCTGAGGCTTGACAGTTTGGGTGCCAGCTGCAATCAGACAAGACTGGAAATCCTGCCGAGATGAGCCGGACCGGCTTCTGAGCCTCCCCAGAGCAGGCCCCGACAGCAGAGTGAGCGTTCTCCCTGGGGTGATCAATCCATTTCAGATCCTGATGGCGAAAAATGCCAGGCAGTAGACAGAGCAAGGCGCAGTGTCACCAGAAGACCCAAGTTCAAATTCTGGTGCTGCTACTTGCTAGCTGGACAACCTCGAGAAAGTACTCTCACTTCTCTGGGGGTCACCTTTTACATCTGAAAAAAATGAGGAGGGAGACAGAGAAGGGAAAAAGCATTTATATAGCACCTACTGTGTGTCAGCTAGGTGGCACACTAGATGGAGCACCACCCCTGGAGTCAGGAAGACCTGAGTTCAGATCTGGCCTCAGATACTTACCAGCTGTGGCCCTGAGCAAGTCACTTGCACAGACCTCATCTGTAGGATGAGCTAGAGAAAGAAATGGCAAACCGCTGCAGTGTCTTTGCCCGAAAACCCCCAAAATGGGGTCATGAAGAGTCATATGCGACCCAAAACAACAATGGGCCGGGCACCAGGCTAAGCCCTTTACAAATACGATTTCACTTAATCCTCACAACAACCCTGTGAGGTAGATACTGTCATCATGTCCCTTTTACAGGCAAACAGAGATTAGGTGATTTGTCCATAACTAGTAAGTACCTGAGGGGAGGGGAAAGGAAGGAGCGTTTAGGTGAAACACTGAGCACTGTGCTGAGCGCTTTGTACAGATACACGATCTCATCTGTTCCTCATAACAACAGGGCGAGGTGGGCGCTTTTGTGACTGTCATTCTGCAGTTGAGTAAACTGAAGGAAGCCGGGTGTGTGTATGTGTATGTGTATATATTATATATGTATACAACCTTAAAGGCAGCAGAGACTAGCACAGTGCCTGGACTCTAGCTAGCACTTGATAAACGCTTTTGATTGACTGATTAATTAGAAAAACTTCACATACGTTAGTTCATCTGATCCTCACAACAACCTTATGCACTAGATATGCTATAGTTATTATTATCCCCATTTTACAGATGAGGAAAGTGAGTCTCAGAGAGGTGAGGTGACTTGCCTGTGGCCAGGCAGCTTACAAGTGTTGAAGGTAGGCAGACTTGACTCCAGGTCCTACAATCCAGCACTCTAGGGTGCTCAGCCCTTTAATTTGGCTTTTTTTTTTTTGTCTCCATGGATGGTAGAAGCGATCTATGCAAGGTCAGCTAGGCCACAACACCAAAAAGGCACTGTGGGCATAGCTCTGAAGCCAGCACACTCTTAGCTCGGGTTTGCTGTTGGGACAAAATGCAGCCCTCACAAGTCACTGAACGTTTAAGAACAGAGGACGTTTACTTTGCTCTATCATAACCAGGACATGCAACAAATTACAATGGTACTTTAGTGGCGTTGGACAAGACCCCCCCCCCCGTATTTCATCTGGAAACATGTCTGGTCAGTCAGTCAGGGCGACTCATATGGTCTCAGGCATCCACCCAGTCTGAAAAGCACCAGCTACACGTGCTGGAATCTTTTATGCCTCCAGACCAGGAAGCTGCATCAGGGAAAGTAGAGCCAATTGGACTACGTCGGAGGAGGAAGCTGTGTCAGGGTCAGAGAAGCTGAGCCAGGACACCGCTGGTCTTATCATAAAACCAGCCTCAAGATTTAATTGGCTCTATAGACTAAGGCTAGAGCTGCCAGCAGAGCTTTCTGATGGCATCAGCACCTCCCCTGGGCTTCTGACCAGTGAACCAAAGTGGCCAATGTGGATAAAGAGAGGCTTTGCCCAAATGAATAAGTGCTGGATCCTTGCTGAGTATCCTTTCCATGCTGTGGCTACATAAACCTCCTTTTGCTAACTGCTAGATGCTCTATGGGTATCTCGTGTCATTCCATTGCTGATTCTGAAGCATCAGTGTTGGCCTGCGTCAGGCCCAGCCTGCAACACCATGCCCATGAACTTGCCGGGACATATAGAGGCAAGATGAGTAATGAGGCTTTGGCATGATGGGTTCCAAAGGGAGACATCACCTTTCAGCTCTCCAACCTTTCCAAGTCTCCCAAAGCCCCTAGAAAACACACACACACACACACACACACACACACACACACACACACACACACACACAGAGAGTGATGATACCTAAAGGTGAATCAACCACAGTGTCCCCACATCCTTATTTTGTCTCTTGGAGAACTCAGGGATCAGGTATAACACATTAATGAAGCACTTTGTTCACATGAGCCCCATGAGGTAGATAACATGAAGATGATTTGCTTTGTTTTGCAGACGAGGAAACTGAGATTGAAAGATGAAGTGGTTTGTCCATGCTGATGAAGTGTCAGCTCTCCCAACCTCAAGTCCAGGCATTTTTACACGTCCAAGCTTCTTCTCTATTTCAGACGGGGCTTTGGCAGGACTGTGCTAGAGCTAGCGCCAGCAGGCCCCTGACAGCCAGCTGTTAAGTTTTCAGGATGAGCATTTACGTCTCAGAAATTGGCAAACCCTATAGTTCAGGGATAGATTTATTGTTTTATTGATTTTTTAGACTTTTAAAAGTAACTAACAATGCAGATTAAGCTTTAAAAAGTGTCACCTAAGATGTGTATTTATATATTATATTTATATAAATACATAAACTATAGTACACTGGTAGTAAAATAAATGTGTGTATATACACGCATGCATATATACATTGCATGTGTGTGTACATATATGCATATATACATATACATACACGTGTATGCACACACATTGGAGTGCTAGTAGTTAAACATTTACCAGCACACCACTGCCATTGGGCCTGAAGAATGGTACTATGAAAAGAGAGCTGGATTTGAAGTCAGATGATTAAAATCCCAGACCAACTATTTGCTACCTACATGACTTTGGGCAAGTCACTTAACTTTTCTGGTCCTCACTTTCCTCATCTGTAAAATGGGAGATTTGGCCTAGATGGCTTCTAAGGTCCTTTCCCACTCTCAATCTACAATCCCAGGAAGCTGGGCCCTCACCCCTATCCAGTAGTCTTCCTCTGTAGTCAGTCACCAGAGCATCACCAGGGTAAGCAATCTCAAGATGTATGTTATAGATAAGTAAAGTCACATAAGGAGAGGTATCACGGTCTTTAAGATAGAAAGCCAAGTTTGGAGTCAGGAATCTTGTTTCAAGTCCAGCATAGGAGGGAGGGAAGGAAGGAAGGAAGGAAGGAAGGAAGGAAGGAAGGAAGGAAGGAAGGAAGGAAGGAAGGAAGGAAGGAAGGAAGGAAGGAAGGAAGGAAGGAAGGAGAAAGGAAAGGAAGGAAGAAAGGATGGAAGGAGGGAGGGAGGTTGGGAGGGAGAGGGAAAGAAAAAGGGAGAGAAGGGAAAGAAGAAAGGAAGGAGAAGAAAGGAAGGAGGGAAAAAAAGGAAGGAAAGAAGGAAGGAAAGAAAGTTTTATTAAGCACCTAATACATGTACTATGTACCAGGCACTGTAGTAAGCACTTCACAAATATTAGCTCATTTGATCCCCACAGCAACTTTCTGAAACAGTTGCAATTATTATCCCTATTTATAGCTGAAGAAACTGAGGCAGACGGCGTTTCTGAGATTAGATTTGAACTCAAGTCTTCCTGCCCCTGGCCCAGTACTCTATGTTCGGTGCCACCTCGCTGCCTCTATATAACACCTATGGTGCATGCTATTTCTTATTTACTCTCTTACCCTGATCTAGCACTCTGTGTGTGCATCTAGGTCAGTCTGCACATTCATCACCTTTCACCAGACACCAGCAACCAGCCTACTTCCTACGGAACCCCAAACATCTGCAGCAGTCAGGGCTGAGCTCCTCTAACCAGCTGTTCCACAGCAGTGAGAGCTGTGAAGGGAACTTTCACTTACTGCCTCTTCCCTTCCAACAGGATCCCAGCCACCAAAAAAAAAAAGTGGCCCTTTATGTTTTTTTTTTCATTTTTAGGCAACTGGGGTTAAGTGACTTGCCCAGGGTCACACAGCTAGTAAGTGTCAAGTGTTTGGTCTGAGGCCGGATTTGAACTGAGGTCCTCCTGACTTCAAGGCTGGGACTCTATCCACTGCGCCCCCTAGCTGCCCCTCCCCTCTGATGTTATTGTCTACCTCCTTCACCATCTTTACTCTCTTTGGTCTTCTTTCCAGTGGCAATACGGTATAGTGGAAAGAACTCTGGCTTTAGATTCATTCAGAAGGCCTTCCATGATACAGCAGTGGCCATTCTATGGAGAATTCCTGTGGATACATACAGAAATACATGAGCTCAGCATGGAAGGACTTGGAACTTTGGGACGACAGAGCAAACCCCGGAGGGATCCTTGGCAGCCCTTCTACCCCATGAGAGCAGAGGTAGGAAATGTTGTGTCAGATCTGAGCTAAAGAGGATTGGGAACTGGACCAGGAAGAGTCACCTACTCAGTTGACTAGAAATTCTCAAAGTGTGGCTGGGGACCCCTGAGGGCTTCTGAGGCGTTCCCAGAGGTCCACAAAGTCAAAACTATTTTCATAAATAAACAGTAAGCTATTTTAACTTATCATGTGGTGGGTATCAATAGATATAACTCACATAAACAAAAGTTATTTGGGGATGGGGGGTCCTTGATCATTTTTTAAGAGCATAAAGTGGTCCCGAGACCAAAAAGATTGAGAATGGCCACAGTGGACTTTAAAAAGATGTGATGCCACCTCTCGGCTTTCTCATCTTCGGTTCTGCAGAACACATGGAAAGTTACTCTGTCTTTCTGGAGTCATCTGCCTCTCCCAGAAGAAATGGTAACTGTTCACATATGGCTGAGAGAAGAGGGCCCCATCCAACCTCTGGCTGCCTCTTCTCTTTGCATTTCTTTCCCTGAACATAAATGCCTGAAAGGTGACCCCAAGGAACGGATTTCTCTGCGGCAGCTACTTCTGAAATTCCTGGGTTCTTCAGTCAGTGTTTGCTGTGATTGGAAGGCATCCCTGAATCTACTACCGAGATTCTTGGAGAGCATAATTGCTGATAAGAGAATGAGCCCAAGCCCTGGCCAGGCTCACCAGAAGACATGGACCTGGTGGGAATCGTTTAGATAATGCCGAGTCAAGGTGAAGGTAAAATGCTGACTCAGAAGCCTCACAAAGTGCCTCACATTCTGACGTTTTAGATATCAGCCTCCCAAAGGGAGAGCGTAATGGTGATTATAAGTTACTGCTTCATGTCTAAGTCTTTCTGAACGTGCCCTTGTGAGCCTTCTGTGTTTGGAGCGTTCCTTTTGATTGAAGGAAATAAATAGCTGTCCTATACCTGATCTCCAAAGTACTTTAGTTTCCTTTCCACTATGTGTGTTTTGGAAAAACCCTAAACACGAGCCAAATCTAATATGTGAGCAATTTTTCCCTAGAGTTGGGGGAGGAGGGAGAGGAGGTGGGGAATGAAGAACCAGAACCCCTTCTCTGCAGAGTCCAGGCTCCCCCAAGACTTTACACCGTCCAAGTGTTCAGGTCCAGAGCCGGATACACCCAGAGAAGAAAAGGGAGAAGGCCCCAGCACTATGGCTGTTCTAGCTTGTTAAATTTGCATCCAGCTTTGCATGACCCAGAATGGCCATGGACAAATAACTCACCCTAACTGAGCTTCAGTTTCCTCATCTGTAAAATGAGGGTTCTAATATCTGAACTGCCTCCCTCACAGAGGTATTGTTCAGAAAATACTTTACAAACCTGACAGTACTATAGAAATGTTCCTTGTCACTATTGTTATTCCTCTCCATGTGTCTCTTTTTTCTCTCCATTTCTTCCTCTGTGTCTTTTGGAAAATCTTTCTCCCATTCTCTCTTCCTTTCTTTCTCCCTTTTACCTCCTTCTTTCATCTCCAGGATGATCACTTTTGCAACATAAATCTACATTTACCAAGCAACCATATGTATATAAAACAACCCAAGTTTATGATTAAAAGGAATACATCGAACACGCATATCTATTTTAGGAGGGGGCTATTCATCACACCCACCAGGGTCATATTAGTTTGGTCTCTCCAATAACCCCACCTATCATCCATCTCTGATCAAAACTGCAAAAAAGAGATAAAGGACATCATGACCCATCAAAACCCATCAGAGTATCACAATTTACCAATTGGAGAAAAGGGACCTAAGGTATGACATAGAATGGTGGTGCATAGAAGGGTGGTGTGGTATCCAAATTCCTTCTTTGAGATCAAAAGAGCTGCTATTTGCTGCCTGTGTTACTTGGAGCAAGTCTCTTTCCCTATTTGGGCCTCAGTTTCCTTATCTGTAAAATTAGGGTAGGGGGATTTGGGTTTGATAAGCTCTAAGGTTCCCCCCAGCTCTAAATCTTATTATCCTAACTCTTAATCTATAGTATCTTTTCATGTACTTACCCCTCAAGTTAAGGGGAACTCCATCAGAGACAGAGAGAGTGAAGGCGGGGGGGGGGGAGAGACAGAGAGAAAGGGACAGAAAGCCACAGAGAGAGACAGATAGGGAGAGGGAGACGGAGAGAGAGAGAGAGAGAGAGAGAGAGAGAGAGAGAGAGAGAGAGAGAGAGAGAGAGAGAGAGAGAGAGAGGAAGGAGACAAGGACAGAGAGAGAGAGGCAGGGAGCCAGGGCCAGGGGAAGGGGGGGAGTGAGAGAGAGACACAGAGAAAGAGACAGAGAGACACAAGGAGATTGGAGAATTAACCCTAATTGTAGGATACCAATATTTTGGTCCCCCACAAACCAAAGGAAAATGCAAACTTGAGTCAGCTTGAACACCGCATACAAATTTGCTTGTTGTCAAGAGAGAATAAGTTCTTAGAATATTTTAGGAAGGCAACAAATAGTCAATTCCAGGACAGACCATCGTTATACTGAACTTTGTATCATAAGAGATTATCTTATAACAGAGATGGAAATTTTACAAAAAAAGCCAAGTTCTACCCCTTAATATTTATGTGATTTGCAAAAGTCACTTCATCTTTCTGGGACTCAGTGTCCTTATCTGTGAAATGAGAAGGTTAAAAGAGCTCTCTCTAAGGCACTCTCCAACACCAATGTTCCACTATTCTAGGCCACATAGGTTACTAGTTAGGCTCTCATGACCAAGGTACCTACTGCCACCTGGTGGCAGGGTACCCTAATGGAAGGCACAACTCCTCTGGGGAGGAAAAAAAAACACCTTCCAGAAACCCAGCGTCTGGAGTTGGCAGACATCATGTCCTGCTTCTCAGTAGACAGGTGGATGACTGTAAGTTCGGAATATTGCATTTGCTATCAAATACAATCACCACATCAATTTGTTTCACATAACTGCTTTTCTTTGTTACAAGGAAGAGATCCAAGTGGGAGTATATCCCAAGAAGTGACAATTTGTTCAACATAGATGATGTGGAACATGATTGCACATTTCTTTGACAGCAAAAGTTTTTATAGCACCTTGCAGTCATTATTCTGAACCCCAGGGATCACTACAGAGTCCTCTACTTGGGGGTACAGGTGAATGATTATATGTGTGTGTATACTGAGCTATACGATCCTATGAGTCCCACCAAGCTAGTAAGTTTGTAAAGACATGCCCAGCAGCAGACTCCGTCTGTGTCAGTCATCCTGGGGCTAGCCCAGCTAATGAACGTCTTTAGCTACAAAAACTCATGAAGCTCTGGCACAGGTAGAGGGTGGGAGTTGAGGGGGGAGGGGGAGGGAGGATGGGAAGTTAAGGCGGAGGAGGAGAGACAGACCTGTCTGCTGGGGAGAGTATCCATCACGGTGAAATCACAGAATAAGGTGAGCTTGTGCTGACTTATGTACTTTCAACATGTCTTTCTCTCCTAAAAGTAGGATGTTAAAAGAGTCTGATTTTTAGATTGAAAGCTGGAAAGAACCTCACAGTCCATTTAGTCTGACCCTTTCATTTTACAAATAAAGAAATGGAAGCCCAAGAAGGAGAAGTGAGCCATTTCACAGATAGTAAGTAGCAGCGATGAGAGTCACAGCGAGGTCCTCTGAGTCTGCATCCAATGACATTCCCACCTGCAGATATTCCAGGTAACTTAGGATTCCATCTTATTAAGAGTCTAGATTCACATTTAAGGGTTTTTTTCATTTTCTGCTATGAGCTTAAACATGAACAAACTATTTTCTCTCCTTTCCCTCTCTCCCACTGAAAAAAGCAAAGAAAAATAATACCCTCATAACAAATATACCTAGTCAAATGAAACAGTTTCCTGCCTTGTATATTTCTTATTCTTCAGCCCAAGTCCATGTGTCTTTGCCTGACATATAGTATATGCCGCTTGTTGAATTTTTATGTAAGATATTTTACCAGATCTTCACGATTATTACCTATGAGGTACATACTAGTGATATTATTATCCCCATCTTATATATTAAGAAACTGAAGCCAAGAAAGTTTAATTAACTTTCCCAGGGTCACATAGCTAACAGGTAAGTAACAGAGACCACCTTAGGACCTGAATTTTCCTCATTCCAAGCCCAGCATTCCATCTCCCACACCACTTTGCCTTTCTATAAAACGTCCTCGAGGAAGAAAAACGCCCACAAAACCAAAGAAAACTCCATAGGAAGCCAATGTGCTGGTACCTCTTACCTCACTGCTCCATTTTAGTTTTTGACCAAGATGAACATCCATTTGAGATGAAAGGAGATTTGTTTTAAGAGGTCTAGTGTGAGAGGCTGAAGGTGACTGGTAGTGGGTGGTGCCCTCTTTGTGTGCATGTATATATTGTGTGTATGTATGTATGTATGTGTATATATATATGTATATATATATACACACACACACACACACACGCATATGTATCTGTATGTGTGTGTATGTATATGTGTGTGGGGTTGTGTGTGTGTATATATGTATATACATACATACATACATACATACATACATACATACATACATTTATACATACATACATACATACATACATACATACATACATACATTTATACATATCCACACAGAGAGAGCTATATTTGGTGCAGTAGATAGAATGCTGGGCCTGGAGTCAGGAAGACCTGAGTTCAAGTCCACACTCAGACACTTGCTAGCTTTGTGACTTTGGGCAAGTCATTTAACCTCTACTGCAGTATCCTCAGTTGTAAAATGGAGATAATAATAGCATCTACCTCCCAGGGTCATTGCAAGGATCAAATGAAATCATACTTGTGAAGTACTTAGCATGGTGCCTGGCATTTAATAGATACTATATAAATGCTAGCTATTATTACTGTGTATTATACACAACAATACATAAAATATTAGTATATTATTTAATTATTAATTATTTTTCTGTTTGTTTTCTATTTTGTTTATATTTTATTAGCATAAATAATGATTAATAAATTAGGATATTAATAATGAATGATATATTAATCCTACATTTCTTTATCATCTCTCTGCCCAAACATATCTCTAATTCTTGTCTAGCACAGTATTTAAAATTCCTACCATTCAAGTCTTCCCTTTGGAACAAGGCATTGGCTCCAGAAGGCCCCTGTTAAAATATACATACTGCCTGACAGGCCCTATTATTAATGCTTTAGCAGCCACTAGACAATTAGCACAGATTCATTTAGCAGATGAGCTACCTAATACTTTATGAAACTAAGTTTGGGGTTGGGAGGAATTCAAATCTAGGAAACACCAGAATATGAGATGCCCACCACCACCAGGTTGGTAAATGCAGCCAAGAAGTCCACAGGAGGGAGTCCTGGACAGCTAAAGCAATAACAAAGGCATTGATTCCCCAAAAAACTCACTTAGAAACCTCTGAAAACAAACTTCACCTAATTTACAGTTTTGTCAAAGGAGAAAAACAGTTTAATGTCACTGTAACAGCAACAGCAACAATAAAACAGCACAGAGGACACAGTGTGCCTGGTGTGTAAGTGCTTAATGAATGTTTGTTAACTGACTGATAACATAACTAATTGAGGCAGTATGGCATGGTGAATAGGGCACTGGCTTGGAGTCAGGAAGACCTGGATTCAAATCCTGCCTCAGACACTTACAGTTTTGTGACCCTGGACAACTCACTCAACTTACCTGTAAAATGAAAGGATTAGACTTTATGACTTCTTAGGTCCCTTCTGGCTCTACATCTGTAGTCCTACGATAACAGACTCATGAAATAGGGTCTGTCTCCCTTTTCTATTTGAATTTTCACTTAGAGACTAATCTCTTCCTGGGGGGAACACTGAGACTCAGAGAGTGAAAGTGACTTACCTAAGTCACACTATAGTCAAAACTTGAACCCAAGGCTCC